GGCAAACACTTTTACCTCCTGAGCCACCACACCAGCTGCTTTAGGTTTTTATTTTGTTTTGAAGTAAGGTCTTACACAATTGTCAAGACTAGCCTTGAAGTTACTCAAGCCAAGGCAGACCTTTGACTTGTGAGGCTCCTCAGCTCAGCTCCCCAAGTGGCTGGGATAGCAGGCCTGGAGAGGAGTGTGTGTGTATGAGAACAGCTTGTGTATGGGGGTGAGAACGCAGCCTTAGGCGTTGCTTTGAGGGGAAGTGTTCTGTTTGCTGCTTTTGTGCCCTGCTAACTGGCCTACGGCTTCTGAGGATGCTCCGGCTGTGCGCCCATCTCTGTAGGGGCCCTGGGACTGCAGACACATACAGTCATGCTGGGGTTTGTGGGATCTGAACTCAGACCCTCATGCTTGCACAGCACATGCTGTGTTCACTGAGCCTTCTCCTCAACGCAGATAATTTTTAAGAGTCATTACATTTTTATTTACGGGGGGAAGGGTGTCGGAGAGCAGCTTGCAGCAGTCAGCCGTCTCCTTCCACTGTGTGGGTCCCAGAGATGAGACTAGACTGTCAGACTTGGGGACATGCACCTTTACTGCGAGCTCTCTTGTAGGCCCTGGAAAACAGTGTTTTTCCACTGTTGTCTTGTTTTGTTTTTCAAACAGGGTTTCTCTGTACCCTTGACTGTCCTGGAACTCGCTATGTAGACCAGACTGGCCACTCACAGAGATCCGCCTGGTTTTTTTTTTTCTTTTGTCTTTCTTCTTTCTCTTTTTTCACATGGGATCTTGCATATATGTAGTACATACACATATATGCATATGCATAGCACATGCAAACATGTAGTACACACAATTATGGTATACACATAGTACACGCACCTATATAGTACACACATATATAGTACACCTACACACATATATAGTACATGCATATACGTATACACATATATAAGGTACATATACATATATATGGGTTGGCTTCAAACTCATGCCCCTCTGCCCTCAGTCCCCAACCCTAGTGCCTGGGCTTATGGGGACAAGGCAGCACACCAGGCTATATCTAAGGTTTGTTGTTCCTGTTTTTATTAAGGTGTAGGACACTTTGGGGAGGCCAACATGTTGCCACAGAAGGTGCGTGGAGGTCAGACACCAGTCCTCACTTTGTTTGAAGCAAGGTTTCTCTCTTGTTCACTGCTAGGTACCCAGGCTAACCCAGAGGCTTCCAAGGGCCCCTTCTCTCGGCCTCCCATCTCACCACGGGAACCCTGGGATCACATTCTTCCTTCAGGCAGGTTCCCCTACCCACAGCCTCTGCCCCACCCCCAGTCCCAGCAGTTAGATCAGGAGCTTTAAACCAAGCATGGTGGTATATGTGTGTTATCCCAGCACTCGGGAGGTGATAGAGAGAGACCCACCCCAAGCGACAACAGAAAGAGCCTCCTGAGGATGCAGCTCAGTTCCTAGAGTCCAGGCTTAGAATACAGGGAGTCCCAGGTTTTATCCCAGAACTTGGTAGAGTTGTTCAGCCCGGGCCACATGAGGCCCTGCCTTAAAAAAGACAGTGTGCCAGCGGAGCTGCGGCTCGGTCAAGATGACTGCAGTAGGGCTTGGGGTTTAGCTCATGGTACAGCACGTGCCCAGCAAAAGCAAAGTCCTGCAATCGGGCCTCAGCGCCAGACCAAAAAAAAAAAAAAACTACAGTAGTGGACACAAACCTGGGGTTCCTTCCCCAGTACCACAAAACATCAATAAATAAATGAGAGTTTGACACACCCCAGCACTGGCCCTGGCTCGGTGTGGATCCAGTCCTGGTGTCAGCTCGGGTCACCACACCCTGGACTATACTCCTTTTGGACAGATTTGTAGCCAAGTGTCTCACCCCACCCTGTCTTGTCTGTACTCAGCTTGTGGAGGAAAAACACTTAAGCTCCGTGCAGAACCTAAGTAGCACCCAGGAACTTCAGGAAGCAGTGAATTGCTTATGTTAAAAAAAAAAAAATTAGTGGTGGTGGCTCTTTTACTCGTAGCACTTGGGAAACCAAGCAGTCACTTTGAGTTTGAGGCCAGCCTGGTCTATATATGGTGTTTCAGGCCAGTCAGGGTAACATAGTGACATAAAACAAAATATTAGATTTTAAAAAATATGTATACTCTTAAAGAGCTCTGACACTCTGACCTTCCACGAGGCTGTGCCCGCAGCAGGAAGGCAGTGCCTCAGGGACGGCAAAGCTACCACAGGGTGTGAGGAGCACAGGCAGCTGGGGGAGTGGAAATCACACTTGAAGCTGGACTAATGTGCGTTCGTGGAGACTGAGCCCAAGAAGTCACCCGTGTCGGTGTGGTGGCACACACCTTGACCTCAGTGCTCAGGAGGCAGAGGCAGGACATTCACCTGTTCTACATACTGTGTTCTAGGCAAGCCAAGGCTACACAACCAGACCCTGTCCAAAAAAGAAAAAGAAAAAAAAAGAGCTGGTGAGGTGGCTCAGTGGTTAGAGCACTGCCTGCTCTTCCAGAGGACCCAGGTTCAGTTCCCTGCGCCCACATGGTGGCTCACACCATCTGTAACTCCAGTCCCAAAGAATATGGTAGATATTCTCTTTCATGCAGGCACCAGGCGTGTATATGATGTACAGACATACATGCAGGTAAAACATACATACACACACACACACACTAAAAAAAATCTTTAAAACCTAGAATAAATGATACATGGAGTAAAACATACCCTCTTATGTGTGTGCTGTCTACGGGAGCCTGAGTGCTTGCTCTGTAGACCAGCCTGGCATAAATCACAGAGATCCTCCTGTCTTTCCCTCTCCTGTGCTGGAATTAGAGCCGCACACAGCCACACCCGACCTTCTGGACTTTATCTTCTCCAAAGGAGATTTTTGGCGAGTGGGGTTTGATCTGATTGGTAGATTGATTGTGCTGATTGTGGCACTGAGATCATAATCCAGGCCGTCACGTGCTAGACAAGTATTCTACCACCAAGCCACGCCCCAGCCCCTCACAGGGGGATTCTAGGCAGGGGCTCTACCCCTGAGCCACGCCCCAGCCCCTCACTGCGGGATTCTAGGCAATCCTAGAATTACTACTAGCTATGTAGTAATTATTAGTAGAATTACTACTAAGCTATGTCCAGGTCCCAAATTTTAAAATGGGGTGTTTTTTTGTTTTGTTTTGTTTTTTCGAGACAGGTTTCTCTTTAACTTTAGAGCCTGTCCTGGAACTCACCCTGTAGACCAGGCTGACCTCGAACTCACAGAGATCCTCCTGTCTCTGCCTCCTGAGTGCTGGGATTAAAGGCATGTGCCACCACCGCTCCGCATTTTTAAATTTTTCTAATGGCTCCGGTCCCATTTTCCTGGTGGCCAAACTCACACATGTTTAAGTTAGATTAAGACAGTCTGTCCCTCACATAGCTTAGGGAGGGGATGCAACTGTGTGTGTTCTTTAAAGAGTAATGGCGAAGGGCTTAAGGAGGCAGCTCTAGGTGAAATGTTTGCTAGGATCTGTGAGGATCTGAGTGAATCTGGGGGGAGCAGCCTGGTAAAGGTGGACGGAGTGTCTCATGACCCCAGCGCTCCTACAGGAAGGGAGGGCGCAGGGACAGGAGAGTTTGGAGGCCTTCAGGCCAGCCAGTCTGGCACACAGTGAGCAGCAGGAGACCCTGTCTCACTACAAGACAGATGGGGATGTCATGACGACCTCGCCAGAGGCTCTCCTATGACCTTCGTGCGTGCTGTGGCAACTGTACACACACACTCATACCCACACAGTCACAGCTACACACACAATCGCACAGACACTCACACAGGTGCAGTCTCTCTCTCACACACGCGCGCGCGCACACACACGCACACGCACACATGAGATAAGGAAGGGAAACATGAGACGGGGAGCATGCCTGTGATCCCTGCACTTGGGTGATGGAGACAGAAAAATTGCTGCAAAATCTAGGCCAGCCTGGGCTATGTAGTCATGCCATGAGTTAAAGTGAGTTAAAAGGTGTTTTTTGTGGGAGGAGGCAGAGATGTTAAGACACTTGCCCGGGTCACACAGCTCCTCGGTGTGAAGTTTGAATCTCTGCTCTTGACCACAACTGGATTTCTTTTTCTTTAGAAAATACTCAGGGTGACATAGAGTGTGAGAGATTTGAGTCTGAAGCCAGGGCTGTGAGGTCTCCAAGATCTCTATCTTTGGCGGGCTGTTGGCTGACAATGGTTTCAACAACTCACTGTGCCTCAGTTTCTTTCCTCTATGAGCAGAGCCCTTCCTGGGCTGGAAGCTTTGATGTGAGAATTGTCCAGCGTGCTCCGGCTGTATGGTGCAGAGCCATCATGACTGTTGGGCTCCTTGCTGGGTGTGCCGTGGGCGTCAGAGGACACCTCCGAGCCAGGCGGGGTCACCCACAGGCCTGGAATTTACCAGAAAGCTAGGCTGGAAGCGGTCAACTCCAGCTCTGGGGTGACCGATGACAAGTTTGAGTGTGCACTGCTTATCTGGGAGATTCTTGGGATGAGCTCAGGTCCCACGCTTCCAGTCAGTCCTGCCCCATCTGCTCCTCCCTTCCCTTTGTGTGCGTTCTTGTGTTGCCCGTCTTTCCAGGGTGAAACCATTGTCCCACGGCATTCTTGCTTTTCTGTTTCGTTTGTTTGAGACAGGGTCACACTGTGCAGCCCTGGCTGACCTGGAGCTCACTCTGTAGACCAGACTGGCCTCAAACTCACAGAGATCCACCTGCTTCTGCCTTCTGGGTGCTGGGATTGCAGATATACACCACCATGCCTGTTTTAGGTGGTGCTGGGGATGGATCTCAGGGCTTGGGACAGGCTAGGCAAGTGCTCTACCATCGAGACCAGCTTTGCACATTTCAGAGACAAGGTCTCGCTCTGTAGCCCAGGCTAATCCTCCCACCTCTACCCTACAGCAACACTGGAGCACCACACTAGGCCTATTTTATTTTTTGATCTCCGTCTGGTCCACATCTCTTTTCATCCCAGGTGTCCCACAGTCTCCTGCAGAGCCTTCCTCCTCCGCTGTACACCCTGCTGCAGCGCCCACGAAACAGTCCGAGAATCCTGACCAGGCAGCTGCCCCGGACACCACTGACAGGGAGCCCACAAGGCCAGCAGCCTCCCAGGAGACACAAGTGTCTGAGGGAGCAGGTGAATAGACATTGGCGAGGGAGACGGGCCAGAGTGGACTAGGAATCAAGGGGCACTCATGTTACGTGGTCTCTTAGACAGAGTCTCTGTAGGAGGGCAGTCTACCATGAAGAGGAAAGAGGACCCTGCAGATCCCGGAGCCCATCAGAGGAACCTCCAGTTTGTGGGGGTCAATGGCGGGTGAGTGATCTCCAGCCCCCATTGGCTCCCCTAAGTCCTTCATACTGTGACCCTGAAGACTGGGGACAGGAGGCCTGTTTGTCCTGCTGCTGAGAGCCAGTCCCAGCTCGGCCCCTCACTGCTAATCCCTCAAATCAAAGCATAAGCGTATAGAGTAAGGAAACTGAGGCAAAGGAATATTTGCACCTGATTGGGACCCATTCAGTGGCTCTGGCGTCTGTGTGGGTCCAGTGCACCCCAAAGGGCCTGATCAGATTAGAGCCCCGGTATGGCACTCCAGGTCTGAAGTGGCGGCTGAGTGACAGTTCTGGTGTGACGTGGTTAGAAACGGGGGCCACAGGCATGCCGGTTCCCCAGTGAGGGGCAGGAGCATGGACTCCAGGCACCTGCTTGCCTAGCGTGTGACTTGCACTGGGACCATCCTGATGGAAAATGTGGAGAACCAAGGCCCAGGGAGGTCATACTGGTCCCTCCTACACCCATTCCCATTAGTGTCCTTTCCCGTCGTTCCTTAGTTACGAGTCGTCCTCAGAAGACTCCAGCACAGCGGAGAACTCGGAGCACGAGAGCACAGAGAACGAAGCCCCAGAGCCACCAGCAAGGGCTGCGAGCACAGCTGAATGCTCTCAGCTCAGGCCTCCCGGGACTGCAGCAGCCAAGGCCAGTCTGGAAGAGAGCCAACTGCCCCGGGAAGCTCAGCGTGTGCCCGCAGCTGAGGCGGCATCAGAATCCAACTCCGAGGAGGAAATTCGGTCAGTTCTCTGGGCTGGATGGCGTTGGACAGGGTGAAGGGTTGGTGATTTGCTGCTGCCTGGAATCCAGGAAGCCATGCTTCTGAGTGTGTCTGAAAGTTTTCTTTTTGAGACAGGGTCTCACTATGTAGCCTTGGCTGGCCTGGGACTCACTAAGCAGACCAGGCTAGCCTCAAACTCAGAGCTCTGCCTCATGTGTACGTGTCAACACGTGTTTGTGGACGCATGTGGGGGACATGTGCATGTGAAGGCTGAGGGTCAGTGTTGTTTATTTTTCTGTTTTTTAGGGTTTTTTGTGTGTGTGTGTGTGTGTGTGTGTGTGTACTGTATTGCATGTGTGTGCTATTGAGACCGTGTGTTTTGTGTCTGTGTGTATGGTGTGGATGCATGTGTTTGTATAGATATATATGCACACGTATGTGTCCATGTGTACACACCCAGGACTGGTGCTCAGTCTTTCTTTTTCCACCGCTCCACACCTTCTCTGCCGAGCCAGAGTCCCTTCCTGACCCAGCTGACTGCAGCCCAGTCTGGCTAGCATGTTCTGCAGATCACCTGTCTTCCACCCATGTGCTGGGGTTGCCACTGCCTGCCATACCCACCTGGCCTTTCTGTGGCTTCCGGGAATGTGGATTCCTGCCCTCACACCTACACTGCAGGTCCTTTCCTGCTGACCCATCTTCCTACCCCCTCCCTTTTTATTTTGAGATAAGGTCTCAAAATTAAGTTGCCCAAGCTAACCTTGAACTCACTCTGTAGCCCAGGATACCTTGAATTTGCAGCCCTACTGCCTCCGTTTCCTGAGTGTTAAGATCATAGACATATGTAATCAAGCCTAGTATGGGGTGCCGGACTGGACCCCAGGGCCCCGTGCCAGGGCAAGTCTAATAGCCGAACCACATCTCTACCCCGCTCCTCATACTTCTTATGTAGAGTTGCTAGGTTGCCCAAACTAGCCTTCAGCTCACTGTAAGCCAGGCTGGCCTTGAACCTGCAATCTTGCCTTCACCTCCAAGTAGCTGGGATTCCCAATCAAGTCCACCAGCCCTGGCAATGAACCTGCCCTATTGAGTTTGAAGCTAGCCTGGGACACATGAGACCATGTCTCGAAAAGTGGGGCGAGGGCTGGAATGGCACCTCTCCATTTAAAATACTAGCTGCTCTTCCACTGGACCTGGGTTCAATTCTTAGCACCCACATGTGTTATGACAAAGCTTTTCCTGAGGAGACACAACACACTCATCTGCTCACTCCGGATGAGGAGCCCATGACAGACTAAAGTACAAATACCACCAAAGTCCAACTTCATGCGCCAATGAGTTTTATTGGGGTTTGCTTACAGGAACATGGGTGAGGGGTTACTTAACAGCAGCAGAAATAGTTCCAAGCCAGCTGCATCACCAAGGCCCACCCCAGCAGGAGTCACAGCTCACACAGCTGGGAACCTGGAGCACACTGCACAGCCAGCAGGCAGCTGCACAGGTTGGAGAGCGTCCTTTCCAGGTGCCCTGCCCAGGTGGCCTAACCTTGCCTGGCAGCTGGGCTGGTTTCTGCTTCTTCCAGGAAGCTGGTTGGGTCTCAGTCTTTGCAGGTCAGCCTCCTTTCCTCTGAGGCAGCGGTTCTCAAGCTTCCTAATGCTGTGACCCTTTAATACAGTTCTTCATATTGTGGTGACCCCCAGTTGTTACTTCGTAACTGTAATTTTGCTATTGTTATGAATCATAACATAAATATCTCTGTTTTCTGGTGGTCTTAGGCGATCTCTGTGAAAGGGGGTCATGACCCGCAGGTTGAGAACCACACATCTAGGGGAACCCTCTGCTTTTATTGCTTATTTTGGCAGGGTCAGTTTCGGGGACTTTCCAGGACTATTTTGAGTTGTTTACCCTCTTGTTCAAGGAGCTTTGTGCAGGATGGGCTGTTTTAATCTCAGAGGAAACTGTTACAGTGTGACAGGTCACAACCATCTGTAACTACAGTTCCAGAGAATCCAACAGCCTCTTCTGGCCTGTTTGGACACATGATACACAGATATACATACATGCAGGCAAAACACCCACACACATAAAATAAAGATGGATAAGTCTTTTTTGAGATTATAATCTGATAATAACATTTTCCCCTTCACTTTTCTCCTTCTAAACCTCCCATACCCATCCCACTCTTTCAGATTTTTTTATTGTTACTACGTGTGTGTGTGTGTGTGTGTGTGTGTGTGTGTGTAAACATACATAGTCCTAGATAAACTCTGTTCACTCTGTATAATGCTACTTGTATGTGTATTTTCAGGTCTGAGCAAAAATTAATTCATCTTTTAAAAAGTAATAATGGGGGCTGGAGAGATGGCTCAGTTGTTAAGAGCACTGGCTGCCCTTCCAGAGGATCCAGGTTCAATTCCCAGCACCCACATGGCAGCTCATGGCTGTTTGTAACTCCAGTTCCAGAGAATCCAGCACCCTTACACAGTCATGTATTGCAGGCAAAATACCAATGCATATTAGAAAGAAAAGAAAAGAAACAACAACAACAAAAAAAAAATGCCAGGTAGTAGTGGCGCCTTTGTCCCAGCACTCATAAGGCAGAGGCAGGTGGATCTCTGTGAGTTCCAGAACAGCCAGGGCTACACAGAGAAACCCTGTCTTGGAGGGAAAAAAGTAAATAAAAAGCTAAAGCCAAATAATAAATACATTTTTAGAAAGTAAAATAATGTAAGCCCAACCTTATCTGTTCCTGACAGGATGGAGCTGAGCCCTGACCTCATATCAGCCTGTTTGGCCCTGGAGAAATACCTGGAGAACCCCAATGCCCTCACTGAGCGAGAACTGGTATGGAGGATCCCTGGGCCTAAGGGTGCCCCTCCACCTTCACGCCACACCTCCCCACTCTCAAGGTCTCTGCACTCACTTAGTGAGGACCCAGTCATCAAGGGTGTCACTAGTGGTGGGTAGGGCTTGAGTCCTGATGTTGGTGCCAGGGTCCCCATTGCCTGGGGACCAGCCTGGCTTCAGGTCTTGTTTTGGGGATGTTTGGGAGATTCCATGTTCGCTGTAGGCGCCGTGTCTGTCAGTGTCTCAATGCTATGATTCCTGGGTCCTATGCACCCCAGGGTCAGCGCTGCCGCTGTAGCTGGTGATAGCCATTACTTTGTTTATTTTCATGATGTCCCCTGTAGCCAACGCTGGCCTTGACCTACATTTGTGGCTAAAGATGACCCTGAACTCCTGCTCCTCCTGCCTTCATCTCCCAAGTGCTAGAATTCCAGACCAGCACCTAGCACTGGACTAGTTTGTTTCTTGAGACAGGGTCTCACTGTAGAGCCCAGGCTAGCCTGAACTGCTATGCAGATCAGACTAGCCTCGAACTCATTGAAATCCTCCTGCCTCTGCTTCCTGTGTTTATTTTCAGAGAAGTTCTCAGTATGTAGCCCGGTTTGGCCTTGGACTCTAGATTTTCCTTCCTTGGGCTCCCAGGGGCTGGAATCACACATGTACTACCTTGCCCAGATGAGGGCACCTCTGTTTTTGCTGTAGGATGGGGTGTCCCTGTCCTCATTCCCCACTCCTGCTGTCTCTATCCAGAAAGTAGCCTATACCACAGTACTTCAGGAATGGCTGCGCCTGGCCTGCCGCAGTGACGCACACCCTGAACTTGTACGGCGACATCTGGTCACCTTCAGGGCCATGTCTGCCCGGCTGCTGGACTATGTGGTCAACATTGCCGACAGCAACGGTAACACCGCGCTGCACTACTCCGTGTCCCACGCCAACTTCCCCGTGGTGCGGCAGTTGCTGGACAGCGGTAAGCCTCCGTGTCGGGCCAGCCTGATGGGCTAACGGGGGAGGCATGTCTTCCTGAGCTCGGGAAAAGAGTTGCTGCTTTCCCAGTCTGAAGTTACTGCTCCCTGTACAGTCTGATGGGGGAGGCCCTGTGCTTTCTCTCTCTGAGGAAGCTTCCACTCTGTTGATCTGATGGAGGCAATACCACCTTCTTAAGTTGGATAGAGGGGGAATGTGCCCTCATGGAATGATGAAGGAAGCTTTGCCCTCCCCATCTCATGAAGGAATGTAGCCCATCCAGTCTGGTAGAGCAGGCTAGGCCCTTGCTGTGTGCTGGGAAGACTCTGTTAGCTGTATAATGAATTTGGTCTTGATGTTACATCGCCAAATGGTACCTATGTGATGGACACACTGTTTCCAAAGCCCTTGTGAGAGGAAGGCTGTGGCCTCTGGACTGTACCATGATATTCAGTCAGGCAGGAAGAAACCTGTCTTCCCTGGTCTGATGGAGAAGGCAAAACCTTCCAATCTATGAGGGAGGCAAGAGCCATGGTCTGATGCTCAAGGCATAGACCTGTTGGAAGGCTGAATGGCAATTCCAGATTCCCAGGGGAACCGCTGCTCCTATTCTCAGCCCTAACTGTATAGGTGACATCAGCCAGGCACCCAGGTGTGGGAGAGGAGGCACCATCTCCACCTGCTGGGACCCCCTCATCTACTAGGGTAACAGTGTGACTACAGTGGATGGGACCCCC